AGTCGGACGAATTGACCTACCTGTCCGCCTGGGAAGCAGGGGAGACGGTCGGCACATGACCATCCGTTTCCTAGTGGTTGAAGAGCTCACGGCTTACAACCTCATCTTTGGCCGACCCACTCTTAATGAGTGTAAGGCCGTCATCATCCCTGCTCTCATGCTACTCAAGTATGAGAAGGATGATGGAACAGTTGGTTCCCTTAATGGGGACCAAAAGACGGCTCGAGAGTGTTATCTCTCGGACGTCAAGCCTGCGGCCGCAGCATCCAGCCGGGGCAAGCAAATGATTGACCTCGACGATGTCGAGGAAGAACAGTCGGCTCCACCAGCCGGAAAGAAAAGAAAGACTGATCAGCTGGTGGTGGTAAAAAAAGAAAAGCAATAGCAATCACTGACCGGGGAAAGGTCGGATGATCTTCATCCCCAGCCAACTGGTGAGCACATTGATATCCCTCTGGATGATAGCCGTCCAGAGCGGACTGATAAGGTGGGGACGATTGCCTTTGCAAAGTTGGGTGAAAACCTTCACCAGCTGCTCAAGGAATTCAAAGACATCTTTGCCTTTGAAGTGGAGGAGATGCCAGGCATCAGCCCGGATCTCGCTGTCCACAAACTCGCCGTGGATCCTAAAAAGAAGCCCATCCGGCAAAAGAAAAGAAACCACGACGAAGAAAGAAGTCAAGTGGCAGCTGCCGAAGTAAAAAAGCTGTTAGATGCCAAGTTCATTCGGCCGTGCAACTTCCCTGAGTGGGTAGCTAACGTTGTGTTAGTAAAAAAGCCGAATGGAACTTGGCGGATGTGTGTTGATTACACAGACCTCAACAAGGCATGTCCAAAGGATAGCTATCCATTGCCTAAGATCAACAGTCTGGTCGACTCAACAGCCGGACATGCCCTGATGAGTTTCATGGACGCCTATTCAGGTTTCCATCAGATCCCCCTGTGGAAAAAAGATCAAGAAAAGACGGCATTCGTCACTGATCAGGGGTTGTTCTGTTATACGGTGATGCCGTTTGGTTTGAAGAATGCGCCTGCTACCTTCCAACGAATGATTAATAAGGTCTTCATTAATCAAATCGGAAGGCATGTAGAGGCGTACATTGACGATATGATAGTCAAATCCAAACAGCAGGCGGATCACCTTGCTGATCTTCGAGAAACATTCGCCACACTCAGGCGGCACAAGGTCATGCTTAACCCAAAAAAGTGTGTCTTTGGTGTTGAGTCAGGGAAGTTTCTCGGATTTTTGATTGACCAAAGGGGAATAGAGGCCAACCCTGAGAAAATACAGGCGGTAATCGACATGCAGTCGCCCCGTACTGTGAAGGAAGTGCAAAAACTAACAGGTTGTCTGGCAGCCCTGGGGAGATTCCTCAGCCGTTCAGGCGACAAGTGTCTCTACTTTTTCCAGGCAATAAAAAAGAAGACAAACTTTGAATGGGGGGATGATGCAGAGGCGGCCTTTCAAAGGCTAAAAACTCATCTGCACTCTTTGCCGAGGCTTGTTAGCCCTTTGCCTAAAGAGAAGCTCTTCATGTACTTAGCCGTCTCTGATCATGCCCTCAGTGTTGTCCTCTTAGCTGAAAGAGACGGCATCCAGCTCCCGGTGTATTTCATAAGCCATGTTTTGAGAAACGCGGAGCTTCGGTACCCCATGGTTGAGAAATTCGGCCTTGCCCTTTACATGGCCATCAAGAAGCTTAAACCTTACTTCTTGGCGCATGCGGTAGAGGTCTATACTGACCAACCGATCAAGCGGCCATTCACAACCTTGGAGTCTTCTGGACGAATGCTCAAATGGGCGATTGAAATGCAAGGATTAGAAATCACTTACGAACCAAGGAAGGCAATAAAGGGACAAGCATTCGCTGACTTTATTGTCGAAATGACAAGGCCGGTTGTTCCGGACAATACAGACCAAGTTTGGAAAGTGTATGTGGATGGGAGCTCCACTGTGAACGGCTGTGGCGCGGGGATTATCTGTCAATCTCATGAAGGAGATAAGTACGAATACGCACTACGGTTCAAGTTTTAGGTCTCTAATAATGAGGCCGAGTATGAGGCCCTGCTGGCCGGCATCCGGTATTGCAAGGCGGCAGGGGCGAAGAAGATATCCGCCTGCTCTGATTCTCAACTGGTCGTACTCCAGGTTAATGGAATGTACGAGGCCACTCATCCGGCCATGATAAAATATTTGCAGGCGGTCAAGAGTGAAGTTGGGTCACTTGAAGAATTTCATCTAACTCAGGTGCCCAGGTCTTCAAACAATCAGGCGGATGCTCTGTCCAAGTTGGCATCATTCGCCTCCTGTGAAACGCCTCGGTTAGTTTTCTGGGAGGTCATGGAAAAAAGAAGTATATCTAAGGAAGACCCCATTGGAATTCTTGACCGGAGCTCAACCTAGATGGACAGCATCCGGGCCTATCTTGCAGACGGCATGCTCCCAGACTCACCACGGGAGGCGACTGTTCTAAAAAAACGAGCAGCTAACTTCAAGTTGCGACAAGGAGAGCTCTTCAGGGCTGGCTTTTTGAAACCCCTGTTGAAGTGTGTTAACCCTGAAAAGGGGAAGGAAGTCCTCGAAGAGTTGCATTCGGGATTCTGCGCCTCCCATATAGGCGGCAGATCCCTCGCGCCCAAGGCCAGGCGGCTTTACTTTTGGCCAACTCTGGAGTCGGATGCCATGGAAATGGTGAAAAAATGTGACAATTGCCAAAAGTTTGGCAAGCTCATCCATCGTCCGGCTACAGACCTGACGGCCATCCACAGCCCAATACCCTTTGCCAAATGGGGCATGGACATTCTGGGGCCATATACAACTGCACCAGGCGGCAAGCGCTATATATTGGTGGCTGTGGATTACTTTACCAAGTGGGTAGAGGCTGAGGCAGTCAAAAACATCAAGACTAAAGACGTCATTTCCTTTATCTAGAGGAACATAATCACTCGTTTCGGGGTGCCCATGTCTATGGTTTTTGACAATGGTCCTCAATTTGAGATGCCTCAACTCAAGACTTGGCTGGGAGACCAGGGGGTCTCAAGCTTCTTCGCATAGTCGGCCGGCCGTAAGCAAACGGCCAGGTCGAAGCCTTCAACAAGTTAATCTCAGACGAGATTAAAAAGAAAATTGAGCGGGCTGGTGGCCTTTAGGCGGATGAATTACCACACGTCCTTTGGTCCATCAGAACGACTGCTAAAGGGGCAATGGGAGAAACCCCATTCCTAATGGTGTATGGTGCAGAAGTTGTTCTACCCATTGAGCACTATGAGCCGACCCTTCGAATCATGTTGTATGATGAAGAGGCGAATTGGGAGGCCATGCGCCTAGCATTGGACTCACTTCCAGAGCGCAGGGGCAATTCTGCCTTGCGTCATGAGATATACCGTCTGAGAATGACTCGGGCATACAACAAAAGAGTACACAAGCGTCCTCTCAAAGTGGGGGACTTTGTGCTACGGAAAATGGAGGCAGTCGGTAGGGCGAACGAACAGGGAAAGCTAACCCCAAATTGGGAAGGCCCCTACCGAATTTATGAGGAAGTAAGAGACGGCACCTACCGCCTGGAAGACCTAGACGGCAGGCAGCTGCCCAGAACTTGGAATGTAGACAACTTGAAAAAGTACTACTTCTAAGTACGAATGTAAAAACCTCAATTTTGTAAATCTCACGTATTGTTTATGAGAATATGCCTTCATTTCCCAACTTGTCTTTTTATTTAAGCTCTTAGTGTCACCTGTATACAATACAAACGACCAATACGTTTGTAGAGCGTTTGTCTCAACGGCAGACGCTCCAATCATTCTGAAGGAACCGATTGTTTTAGAACAGTCGTTCCTACGAAATTCATCAAGTTTACACCAACACTTGACGAATATTTACGTAACCATTTAAGAGGCCTAAGGCCAGATAAAATCATGATGAGGCCCATGGTCGGATGTTAATAAACAAAAAGAGACCGAATGGTCACAGTCTGCTCCAACATGAGTACGACCGTCTGCTCCAACATGAGTTAGATAACCGGCGATGTCCATTTGGGCAAATTTGTCGAGGAGAAGCATCTCCCATTTGGGTGGCACATTGCTCTACGAATATATCAAGCGGCCCTACCGAATGCTAAGGCAGCATTCACAGTCGTTTGTTTTAATCGAAAGTGAAATCTAAAAGACCTGAATTTTCTATCTAGCGCAGTTCAGAAATGGTCACTGTTTCATAAGTAGAGGCTAAGCGAGGCATAAAGCCGGATGCGCCTGTTATTGCTCAGGGGAAAAACAGGCGGAATATTTACAAGCTAAGTTAACTACTTAGCATTTATTGAGGCTATTGGCCGGATGACGCCTGATCCTTGCCTATGGGGCAAGACAGGCGGACAATTATTTTTAAGAGAAAATTGGTTAAGTTACAAACTTAGCATTTTATCTCAAAGAGGCCTATGGCCGGAGGCGCTTGTTTTTGCTTATGGGGCAGAACAGGCGGAGGTTTACCCTTAGAAAATTAGCTAAGTTGGAAATTTGAGTTAGTTCGAGCCAATGGCCGAATGAACACTTATGTTTGCTAATTCTGGATGGACGTCTGCCGCGTGGTTTGGGGCAATCACCATAGTGATTGATTAACTTAGAAACCATGCATACTCTTCTAAGTATCAAAAATTTCTAAGTCAATCAATCCAATAAACCGAAACCACACGACATCCGTCTAGGGGCAAGAACATTCGCATGGTATATAGGTTATAATACTTAGCCAAAAACATGCAATGAAAAATAAAAATTCAAGCAGTTCAAAGGACAGAATATGGATAACTTCAGCCAAATGGCCGAATGATTCAAATTAAAAAAGACCAATCGCCACCTGACGGTTGGTTAAGATTGTCATCTGGAAAAGCCTGAAAGATTGTCAAATTACCCGACCCCTTGGTCGGTAAAGATACAAATACTCTGCACGTAGGCCGGAAAAGAAAAGTACATGGCCATTCAGCCGCAGAAAAGCATAAAAGCTTAAGTGATCAGGGGAGAGCCTCTTCAGTGGCAGCCGGCCTGTCGTCCTTCGGCTGCTCTTCATCCTTTCTCTCTTGCTCCTCCGCCTGATCCTCCTCCTCCTCGCCACCAGAGGAAGACTCCCCAGAAGAGTCGGACCCAGAACTTTCCTCGGCCTCAGCATTCTCAGCCTCTTCAATAAGGCGAGCGTCGAATGCTTTGCTGGCTTCGTCAAATTTGGATTTCCAAATCTGATAGTCCGAGTCCGGCTGTACAGCCGCCCAAGTGTCCCGCATGATGGCTTCATAATTGCTCATCATTTTCTTAACAAGAGCCTCTCTCTCTTGATCAGCCACGGACTCAAACTTGGACTTCAGCTGATGCTCCTGGTTGCTGAGGCGCTGCTCCAGGCGGCCCACCTTCTGCTTGGCTCTCTCGGCCTCTTCTTTGACATCTTGAAGAGGCTCGAGCTTCTCCTTAAGAGTTGTAATCTCTTTCTTAAGGGAAGTGATGCGCAGGCGGGCCGAGTCTAGGTCCTTCTTCACCTGCATATTGGCTTCCGCCTGCGAATACATCATATCAAGCGTCAGATACTCATTCTGAGCAATATCAAATTGAGCCCGATCCAAGGCGGACTCGGCCCGAGCTTTAACGATTGTTACCTCTTTGGATTTCTCCTTGAGGGGTTGCCTGAGCCCTTGGACGCGCAACATGGCCTGCAAAAGAGCCGAATGGTTAAAACCAGGAGGAAAAAGAAATAATACTTAGCAAAAAAAAAAAAAAATTTTTGAGCTAAGACTCATACCTCGCAGAGGTTCCCCAAGATGCCATCCAAGTCAAGGGTGTCGACTCCTCTGACAGACGCCTTATCGTCAGGATCAACCGCCCTCAGCATGGACTTGGCCATCTGGACTACAGTCGACCTCTGCACCGGAACTAAGAAGGAGAGAAAGTTAGAAAAATAACTAAAGTACACCTAAATGGAAGAACAATAGAGGCGAATGGATTTTACCGTCGTCCTTCTGTTCCTCCTCTCTTCCCAGGCTCCTCTTCTCTCTTGCTAAGCCGACAGCGGTGGTGGGTTGCTTAAAGCCACCCTTCGATGCCCTCTGGGCATCCGGTTTGCTGATCTTCTTTTCAGCTTCGAGAGAAGAGGCGTCTGGGCCCTTCTTGGGCTTGTGAGCAATGTGCTTCTGCCCGCCCTTGCCGAATGCGCTCACATCACCCGCCCTAGTCTTTTGGATTTTAGTGTCGGATGGTTTTGAAGGAGATTTGGAAGGCGCACCCTACATCAACACAAGATAAACGCAAGTTAGAAATCATTCGGGCAAATTTAATATTGGTCAGAAATGAAAGTATAACAATTTTCTACCTTGGAGGTGCCGCCAATTTTCTGCTCGTCCACTTTGGTGTGTGGTTACTTCTGCCCTGTTTAGGACATTCGACCTGTATCGAGCAGCAGATACAGCCGGCTTCCTTGTGGCCGAGAGCTTTTCCATTGCTTTGTCTGCAAAAATGAACAAGTGATTAGCGTCATTAAACAAGTACTGAAAAGCAAAAGTAAATTGCTTATAAAACAGACGGCCGACTACCTCTCGGCATCTCTGAACTTAGCCCACAGGCGGCTAAGAATGTCCCTTCTTCAAACCACTTGTACAAAGGGAGATAGCATTGAGGGGTGACCTCATTGTCCCCCTCATCATTCGTCCACACGGACACGGTAAACAACCCCGCGTCCATGATCTCCTCCTTTGCCCGCCTGGGAACAGGCGGCAATGCGCTCCTGCCTGCTAGGAGAGGTAGATCCTTATTCCACCTGTTATACTTTTGGTACAGGCGGCTGTCGGCAGACTTGACTATGTAAAACTTATTCCTCCAGTCTTTCCACTTGTTCTCTTTGCCAACAGCCATCATGTACCCCTTGCAAGTGGTCAAGGTGTACCAGCCTTCACCGCCCCTAGCAGGCGCCCTGCTCAGATAGTGCATGTGGGCGAACGCTTCAAAGCTCGCCTCTACCTGCAGCATCTCACAGGCGGCAACGTACCCTAGAATATTGATCCAGGAGTTGGGTACAAGTTGCCAGATACCTAGTTGGTATCCGTCAAAAATCCTCTCCACGGCCGGATGGAGAGGGAAGCGGAGGCCAGCCTGGAAGGCCGCTTCATAGCAGCCGAATGCTTTGTCTTGATAGCTGGCCAGGCTCGGCGAGTTTATGGTGTCGCCCTCGTTAGGGACCGACAAAGTGTAGCCATAGCCTAGGACGACCTTGCACCTAAAATTGGCAAGGCCGGATGCCATGGCGCTCCGCCTTCCTGGCGGAACATGCTGATAGTAGGGGGCTCTCTCCAAGCGCCTGGAAGCACTCGGCTCGGCCCAGCTTTCCCCCCTATCCACTGCCAGGGACTCTCTGGCAGAATCTATGTTTGATCTAGCCTTCTCTGAAGTTACGGAGGCATTCTCTGTAGAAGATGACGAGGCCGACTCGTCACCAGAGCTCTCATCAGAGCTAGGGGACCGCCGACTGGTGCCAGCGGGGTCCTCCCCTAGACTCTCTTCCGGCGCCTGTCCAGAAGGCCCGGGTCATCTTCCTCCCCCAGGATTCCATCACTGGGAGTTCCACTAGATGTGGGCGAATGGTAATAAGTGGGGGTAGGAAGAAGATAGGAAGGGCTGTCAGGGTGTTCCGATAGCTCACTTCGAGGCACTCTTATTGAGCCGTCTGAAAAAACAGTCGACCCATCCGAATGGTAGAAAACTCCATCGGAGCTACACTGCCTTGATGTTCTTTTGATTCTGGCCATAGTGTCCTGCACAGACACGGAAACGGTCGGATTCGGAGAAGTTCGCAAAGCAGGGTCTTTGGCCAAGCATTCGACACTGCTAGTTCTAGATTCAGCCGTCCCCGGTGACCGGCTGATCACTATCCTACGCCGTGTCGCATGCAATTGGGGAGCCATTTTTTCAAAAACAAAGAAAAAATGAAGAGTAAAAAGAAAATACAGGCGTTACCTTTAGAAGAAGGGAGAAAGACGCCTGGTTGACTAAAGAACGGTCGGACTGGTAGCCGAGTGTCGGATGCTTGAAAAACGCTTAGGGAATTTTGAGATTCTTTAAGTCAAAAAGTCCAAGATTCTCCAGAGATTCGCCAAGGTGTGAATCCAAGAGGGGGGGTCAAACCTCACTATTTATAGGGGGGTAAAATCCTAATTTTTTCCTCCAGTAAATTTTCAAATCTGACCACTCAGATACTGACACCTGTCACAGGAGTCACGTGCAATGCACGTGACCCCTGTGAGGGGCAAATGATTTGGGTATTTTATACCCGGCCAGGTGGCCCAACCAGAAAGTGCCACGTGTCCTTCGTATAGGTGCCATTTGGACCTATGGAATGATGACACGTGGAGGGTGGAGTCTTCTCCGTCCTACGTGGACTGAAGGTCCAGCAGGGACCATTCAGGTGGCGACACGTGTCACACAAAAAGTGCTTCAAAATCCTTTGGGCACAGTGACACGTGTCACTCAGGCATTGGCCCTGGGATGGCGGCCTTCTAAGGCCCAAATCCCGAGGCGCCGCAAAACGGCGTGACCTAATTACTAGGTCACCAGATCCTAGGAAGGCACACTTTTCAAAAGGGCCTTATAAATAGGGACATTATGTCATTTATGACAGAGAGAGAATTTTTGACACGCAATACGAGACAATACGTCACTTATCTCACTTTACCTGAGCTTGGAATCCAAGCAGATAAATTTACTTTCGCACATTTTATTTCCGAACGTTTGCTGACTTAATCTTCGGAGGCGGACCCCTAACCATCCGGAGGTCCGTTTGCTTTGCAGGTACAGGCGTCCTCAGTTGAATCCAGTTTCAGTGTTGTAACTCTCCCGAGGGACAAAAAACCCCAAAACACATCTAATAAGGATTTTTTTTCTAAATTATAGATCACAACTCCATAATAAAATCTAACATAAATATGAATCATATTGCACAAGTAAAAGAAGTAGTTAAATAAGAAGGGAAGAAAACACACACTGGAGGAGTTGACCGGAAAAGCAGAGTTGGTGACAAAGGTGGTCCTGGTATATGGTGGTGTTACACTTTTAGGCAGGGTGTTTATAAAAAACTTCAAAATTAAAAAAAATAAATAACTACACACGACTTACCTGGTGGCGGCGACGGAAAAAGACAGAAAAAAGGAGGGACGGGCACAAGAGGAATTCGGCGACGGTGAAGCTGAAAAAGGGGTTAATTTGCGACCCACAATTAGCTATTTCAGACAAAATAACGAAAATAAAAAAAATCAACCAAAAGGTGAAGACTGAGAACATAGCTTTAATCAAAAGTTCAAGAGTGAAATTTCCCCATATTTAACCCAATATCAGCCAAAAAAGATATTTCTATCGTTTAAAGAAAAAATTCAACTATGTAGCCTAATATTAAAATAATTACAATGAGATAAACCCATGTATTAATACACATTTACGATAAGGTAGCTTATTTGGAATGCACATTTACCATGTCTAATTTTTAACTAGTCATTATGAACCTTGCATAATAGACAAAATCATATATAAATTCAACAATAAATCTCAAAGCTAACAAAGTTACATGGCTTATTTATCGATTCAAGACAAAAAATTTCATTACATCCAAACTAAATCTAAAAAATAATAGCTAATATAATGGTTGCCGTGTTTTACCATCTTAAATTACCTAATTTATGCATTTTGATTTGCTTTAATATGTTTTTGGTTGGATTTTACTTTCTATGTTGGTTGGTTTCCTAACATACTTTCAAATTGTAATTTTATCAAGTTTACAGAATATACTTACACAATGCGGGTGACACTAGCGGCAAATGTTTTACAGCTTTGGGGTGATTCTGCTAGAGCTGCTAACAGGAAAGCAGGCAGTTAGTGAGGTGACATAACTGGCTATGTGGGTTCTTAGAAATTCTATACAGCCACAAAAATGGTATCAAATTCTTGACTTAGAGTTAGTCTGACATCACTATCAGTCAAAAGCCAGATGCTAGAAGTACTCAAAATTGCTCTGGCTTGCATTAACGCCTCATCAGAGGAAGGCAAAAGATGAAGAGTGTGCTAAGGATGTTGTTGAATGCAAGATGACCACAGCTTAAAGAACTCAAGTTAATAACTACAAAATGTTGATTTTAATTAGCCAGGAAATTAAGACAACCTTGGTAATGGTTTTGTAAAATATACTTAGCTATCTTTACACATGATAATCACTTCGAGCAACAATTTATTTTTGATATTGTTTTTAAAGTGAAAATCATTAAACACAAAGCAATTAGTACAACTTCATATATGCAATGAATTGTGTTTAGCAGATGATTATATATTGTTTGCAGAATATTCTTCATTTTAACTGTATATCATAAGACACAAACTCAGCAAAACTTGTATTAAATACTCACAATTCACAAGCGCAAAAAGTGGAATATTGTTACATTATAGGACATTTCGCAATCTGGAACAACAACAACATTACTTGCTGACAGAGCTTATTACCCCTTGAATTTGAATTAACTAAATTTCAAAAAAATAAAAAATAAATTACAGCCACTTACCTGAATACACTCGACAGAAAATAAATTTAAAAAGAAAATAATAAATAAAAAAACCCAAATTGCATGACTTACCTGAGTATACTCGACGGAAGATGGAGGAGGCTAAGATAGAAGGAGGAAATCGGCGACGGTAAGCCTGAGAAGGTTGATTTGTGACTAAATTTTAGGGTTTTTGCCCAAATTAACAAAAATTCAAAAAAAAAAAAATAATACCATCAACTTACCTAGATACCATCGTCGGAAAACAAAGGGGGGATGGTTAGGAGGGGAATCCGGCGACGGTGGTCTACGTGGGGGGTTGAATTATGACCCAAAGTTAGGGTTTTCACACAAATTAACGAAACTAATTGTAGACACACATTTGTGTCTCCCCAATACCAAACCCGATGATGAGTACCTTTCACGTCGAATCATAATCGAATGAAGTAAAAGTGTGGAAAGTCTAGTGTTGCGGATAGTTTTAATTTCTTTTCTCTTCTCTTTGTTTTTGAAAACCTATTTTAAGAAAACAGTCAATCCATTTTGGTTGGTCAATAGTATGGTTCCAATAATGGTGTAGTTGGATGGGGCTTGAAAAGAGCTTTCCAACGATATATTATAAGCCCAATTATGATGAATAATGAGGAAGTTATCGCCAAATTACTAAATTGGGCCCGGTTTGATCCTTATATGCGGCTCAATGATGTAGAGGAGGGCCTAATATTGATTTATCATACCTAATGCAATTAGGATTGGTTTTAGTCTTCTAGATTCTTCTAGAAGTTTCTTTTCATTCCTAATTCAATTAACATTGATAAATTGACTTTTGTTGACTTTTTAGAGTTTTAATCAGAATAAAAGAGTGTTTTTAAGGAAAATACGATTTTTCCCTTCTATACGGCTAAATTTTATCTGAATTAAGAAAACACGTGAAAAAATTAATTAGTGCTTGACGACAGACATTAGCGCCTGACGCTAATGCCTGGCGCTAGCCTTAGCGCCTGGTGCTAACTTCTTTTTTTCTCTTCGAAACTCTGATTTTTTTATCTGTTTAGCTGATTTTCTCTATAAATAGCCTCCTAAAATCTTCGTTTTTCATCGCCAATTCTCATCAATTCTTATTCTCTCTAATTCTCTTCTCTCTCGAAGCTTAAGATTTTTCTCTAAGCTCTCTTTTTCTAAACCAACCTTTTTACAAACAAAATTCCGCATTCACAAGATCTAGAAACACCTAGCATTGTTTGAAGTTGCCTTTTCCCTAGACGTGAAAGGTTTTTAAATTCTGAGGGTTTGGTCCCAAATCTCTCTTTCAATTATTTAATTTAATTGTTTGTTTATTATTTTCCTTGAAGTTACTAACGCGTGTATTTTGTTATTAGAAAGAGATATGAGGCATCCAAATAAGTGCTTTAATGGTTTTTATTGATATTATGATGAAGAAATCATGTTTAGGTTGTTATTATGATTACTAGCGTCATGTTAGGGTGTTTTGATCTTCCTGGTATCATGTTTAGGGTAACAACTAAAAATTCCTAATATCAAGTATGATTAAAAGTATGATGCCTTTTATTTTCTTTCCTAATATTCATGTTAGTATCATGTTAGGGCTATATATTTGATCTTTGATGTTTAGTGACATGCTAGGGTTTGTCATTAATTTTTGTTAGTATCATGCCTAGGATCTTGCTATTGTTATGTTTTAACATGATTATGATAATGATTATTATGGTTATAATTGTAATGATGATGATTTATAATAATTTTTATTATGATTATTATTATGTTGCTTGATTTTTATTGTTATTGCTTGATCACACCTTTTATCCATGTTTAAAGGGAATTTTTACTTGTAATCACGCTTAATAAGATAATTAATAATCTTGTTTAGGGTTAATATGATTATAATTCAAGTGATCGCCAATAATAGTTTATTTGTGCATTAATATTCAACCAACATAGATAAACAGGTTTAGGGCTAATCCTATTGATTGCATGTTAGTCAGAAAGCGCACATGAATACGATCAGAATAAAGTAGAGGCCTATTATTAGGGCAGGTTCCATCTCTTTTAGGTTTGATTTGTACCTTCATCCCCGAACTACCAGTCATGGTTCCAGACCTATTGGAGTTGACGATCTCCTAGATCGTTAATGATCTCCTGGATTGTTAAGGGGTGTAACCTTCACCTCGTGAACGATTTACAAGTTCCTAAAACTTGTTGGCGACTCTTTTGCTCTATCTTCCTTCCCTTTGGACGCCACCGTACTTTAGTGTATGATCACAGTGGGGTTCAAGTTAGGGGTAATGCTTGAAATATTCCCTACACTAATAAAATAAAAAATAAATAAAAAGTAAAATGGCATACTTGTGTGTAGCGTCGGTGGGAACAATGGCGGAGCAACGACTGTTCTTTTGCTGTTCTCCCGCTCCCCCCTTCTTCTCTGCTTCGAATTTCCTTTTCCCCTTCTTTACAAATGAACTCCCGATTTTGTTTTAATTTGGTTTTAAAAATTCTACTACCGGTTAGACCGGCCGTAATTATTTTTTAAATAAAAATAAATCAGATAATTTTAACGACCGTTATAACGGCCGCAATATATTAAAAAACGATCGTAATTAATTAAAATTACGACATGCTATGAAACAGTCGTAAATAATACTAATTGCGACCGTTTTTATGACAGTCGCAAGCAAACAGTCGTAAAATCACCAAATTTGAGTAGTGTAACATAATCAAATAAGACTAAAGTAGACTCGAGGGTAGGGCGGTGTAACCACCGTGAAGGGATTACCTCGTGCTCATAGAGCTTTCTGAGTCGTTCCTTTTGTGTTTGAGTGGTTATCCGGATAGTTAGCCACTGTGGAAGCTGCAAATCCGGTTCATATTGTAGGCTTGAACTCGAACTTCCCCCAAGAATTGATCTTGCCCACTTTGATGCCATTTGGTAAAATGGGTATGAAAATTATTTGATTAGAATTAGGAAATTTTGGTATAGAATTGAAGAGGATGAAGGAAGGAGTAAGAATATGTAATTATATTTGAACTTGGGTGAGAAATGAGGAGAAAGTTTAGAGAGAAGGTAGAGGAAATTGAGTGTTTAGAGAGAGAAATAATGGAGGAAGGAGGAAAAAATGAGAAAAGAAAGAAGGATGAAGAAGAAGAAAGAAGAAGAGAAGCCGGGTGGGGCTCGGGCCCGGTCGATCGCCACATCGCCCGGTCGGGCAATCTGAAGATTAAAACGTTTCTCGTCTCGCGCCCGGTCGGGCGCCATCTCGCCCAGTTGGGCGAATTAACTTCTTCGAAAATGATCACTCCCGCGCCCGATCGGGCACCCCTCACCTGATTGAGCGATTTAATCCCAAATTTTTTACTTCAACTCTCGCGCCCGGTCAGGCGCGCTTCACCCGATCGGGCGAGAAAATAGTTTCATACTCGTCAAATCTTGCGCCCGGCCGGGCACGCCACGCCTGATCGGGCGAATTATGGGCATTTTTCTACGAACCTCTCGCGCCCTGTCGGGCGGAGCTTTGCCCGGTCGGGCACGCTACAGCACTAAGAATGCGAATATCTACTTCTCTTTTCTCCAAAATTGACTAACTCTTCTCCTTCAAACCTGTACAAAAACTCAATAAATTCATTAAACTCCCTCCTCTCTCCTCTCACAAGAAAAAAGAAATAAAGAAGGCTAGACTAAAAAGGAAGAAAATTACGGGTTGCCTCCCGTAAAGAGCTGGTTTATCTAGGTCCCGCATGACCCTTTTACCACAAGACAAGAAGTTAGGATCCTTGGCCTACCTCCTGGTCGGGTGGTTCGTCACCTGGTGGAGCAGTTTTTAGATCACGAAGCGGCTTCCTGACATGCCTTGTGAGACGCCAATTCACCTTATCGAGTGGATCCTCCTTGGCGTGAAATGGTGGTTCTTTGCTACTACTCACAAGATACCCCTTTTTTACCGTTGGTTGCCTCAAGTTGTCATTGTATTGAGCAATTGCAACTCGATCGGGTGTTACACTCACTATACGCTCAGTTTTCACAGCTTGCTTGTTTGTTTCTGCCTTCTCATCTTCAAAGCCAAGACCGACACAGCAAAAGGCTCTTTTGATTGCATCAACTTCCTTTTGCCATTTGTCTATTTCATCTGTAGAAGATGCAACACAAGATACCGCCTCCAAGGGATCTTTTACAAGAGCTTGGGGCTTATTAGAACAATTATCAACCACATTAACACTAAAACACTTCTCCTCTGTCATTGGGCTTTTAGGGGTATTATTCAAATTGAAAGTAATTTTGTCATCTCCTACTAATAGTGTCAGTTTGCCAAATTTCACATCTATAATTGCTCCTGCAGTGTTAAGGAATGGTGTACCCAAAATAATTGGAGTTTGCAAATCCTCAACCATATCAAGAACAACAAAATCAACAAGTATATAAAATTTACCTACTCTAATAGGAACATCCTCAAGAACACCTAAGGGGTATTTAAAGGAATGATCGACCATTTGTAGAGTAATATTATTAGTTTTCAATTTACCCATATTTAGCTTGGAACACACAGAAAATGGCATGACACTAACGTCAGCACCCAAATCACATAATGCATTATCAAACATTAGATTGCCAATATTATCAAACATTCTTTAGTAAAAGCGACTGTCTCTACCTCACTAATAGACCTTTCTCTAGTCAATATTTCCTTCATGAATTTAGCATATGCAGGAATTTGTGTAATTAGTATTGCAAAAAGAACCGTTACCTGAAAATCTTTAACCATCTCCAAAAACTTACCAAACTGCTTATCCAAATTAGTTTTTAAATGTCGATTGGGGAATGGAAGTTTGATAACTAGCTTTGAAGGATTACTGCTCTTACCTGGAGCTGCTACCTTCCTTGGAGTTATACCCTGCAATGTATTACCAGAAATATTAGTGCTACTCTTTAGCCCTGTAGGGCTATTAGCAACATTGTTTGGTTTACTGGAATCGAAATTAGCATTATTAATTAAAACAAGTTCATCATTTATGGGCGTAGGGGGCTCATCACAATGTGAACCACTCCTTAGAGTAATTGCAAAAGCTTGATCTGTAGGCCTGGTTGGCTGCGATGGTAGGGCTCCCTGTTGACGGGCTTGTAGAGCAGAGGAAATCTGTGCAATTTGATTATCTACTATTTATTATGTACTATGATCAAATCAATTTGAGCATCTCTACTCTCCATGTGCTTTTGCATACTAGCTAGTATCGCTCTAATTTCTACCAAAGCAAGGTCAAAAGATGAGGAGGGTTGTTGTGGTTGGTTCTTCTGGCCAGGATTGGGATGGTAATATTTCTATCGTTGTTGTTGTGGTGCCTGTGATTGTTTTGGAGGTGGAAGATTATGAACATTGGTGCTCTGGTAGGAAAGATATGGATGGTTTCGGAACCCAAGATTGTAGGTGTTGGAGTATGGGTCATTCTGCCTATAAGCTTGTAAGGCATTAACTTGCTCCACGGAACTCCTGCAATCTTGCTCCCATTGACCTACAATTCCACAATTTTCACAGAAAGCCTCATTAGAATTATTATTAAATGCATAAACATTAGCTATATTTGCAGTACTAAGATTGTCTAATTTATGACAAATAGAGGTTAATTAAGCTTGCAAAAAGGATACAGAGTCGACACTATGTTTCCCTTTGTTAGTAAAGCCTCTAGGATTCCCACATTGGAAATTGTGGATTGCCATATCTTCAATAACTTGACTTGCATCATTAACATTAAGGTTCATAAATCTCCCACTAGCTGTAGAATCTAATATTGTTCTAGATGAATTACTAATCCCATTATAGAAAGCTTCGATCAACTGCCACTGCGCTAAATTATGGTGGGGACACTCCCTCATCTGCAAATCCTTGAATCTTTCCCAAGCCTCATATAAAGTTTTATTTGGCTCTTGGGCAAAGTTTTGAATTGTGCTTCTTAGCAAAGCTGTCCTCTCTTCAGGGTAATATTTATTATAGAAATTCAAAACAAGAGTCTCCTAGTTAGTTATACCAAGTGCAGTTTCAATCCATTATACCATAATTTGGCTTTTCCACATAAAGAAAAAGGAAAAAGAATCTCCCTGATTTGGTCTTGTGTGACCCCAGCTTGCCTGATGGTATTACAATATTGATAGTAGTCTGCAATATGAAGATTTGGGCCTTCACCCTTAGCTCCAATGAATTGCTTCCTTTCTATCATCGTGATAAATTGGGGTTTAATACTCGAATTTCACTCCATCAAGAGCCGGAATGGGAGTAAGGTGTGGAAAATCTGTTAGCGACGGCTGCGAATAATCGCTGAGCTTATTAGGTGTTGTCATCTCTGATTCTGAATCCAAAGGAACTTCTGAACCACTAGAATCAGTTGGAGGGTCTATGTGATTATCGTTACCCCCAGAACCCACTAGGATTTTCCTGTAAAGATTCTTTTGTCTGTGAAAAGAGCGTTCGATCTCAAGATCGAATGAAATATAACCTGATCTGGAACACCTGGGCATAAACAAAGAACTTAAAAGCAAATATGAGACTTGCCTCAAAGAATTGACGTTCTTAGAAATAAAAATAAAATTGTTTTCCCGGCAACGACGCCAAATTTTGACAAGCTTGAGTCTTATCACCTAATCAAAATTTATTCCTAAAACCACTAACTAATAATATATATGGAAGTAGGGTCGAATCCATAGGGAAACAAGTCTTTTTATTCCTAATTAATTAAAATTAATCTAAATTATTAAGTAACCAATTTGTTATTATTAAAGGGAACTAAACTACTAAGATTAAGGATAGGGAAAATCAATGAATAAAAGGCCTAGGGCATATGTTCACCAATAAATAATATTCCAGGGTAAAACACAATAATCAATTATCAGTGCATCAATTAATCAGATCATAAAGGGCTTTCGCTACGTATTACAATCACAGAACTAATCTACCGGTATTAAATCTCATCTCTCGAATCTCGAATCTCGAATTAACCATTTATAAATTAACCTGTCAATTGAAGCTAAGCCTAAATATTAATTCTCATCTCTCAAATCTCAAATCAATATTCCAAACTCATACATAAAAGATCTGCACAAATCTAGTTGCATAGCATTAAATCAATCAATGGAAAATTAATCAAGCATTGATAATAAACAACAATAAATTACCCCATCATATTATTTATGGATCCCCACAAACCCTTGAAATAAAACTACTCACACATAATTAAATCTAAACTAAACAAAGAAATTAAAAAAAAAACATGATGAATAAAAGAAATAGAATTACTGAAATTAATAAAGAAGAAATCGTTACCAAAATTAACGTAATTAAAGAGTTGAATCAAGAACAAAGTATAGAGTTGTAGAGAGAGAAAATAATACTAAGTAGTGAGAGAAAGTCTAAGAGAAGAGAATAATCGTATTTAAATGTATTCATACTAAGCTCCTAAAATCCTAATTAGAAACTAAGTAAAAATCGCTAGAAACAAGCTTTTTAAAACACGCTCCCGATCAAAAGAGGCACCGCCCGATCAGGCCCGCCTTTTTTCCATCAGGTGCATCTCTCGCGCCAGGCCGGGCGCGAGATCGGGCAAAGGTTTGCTTCATTCTTTTTCTGCCCCGCCCGGCAGGGCGTACCTTCGTGCGAGACCAAATTGGCCGGGCGAAGCTCTTGGGCTATCTTGAACTCTTGATTGGGCTCCGATCCTTCAGCCTAATCCGGATTTCCTCTTCGGGTCTTGAATACTCGGTCCAAATGCCTCAGTATCACATATGTCGAGCCGTTAATCACCGGTTTGATGACTCTAACCGGCCTTGGGCTATGGAAGATGGTCGTGCTCCTCCAATGTTCGTAGTCGCTCCATAAAATACCTGGAAAATGCTCTAAAAGTAAAAATCCCTACAAAACTCAACCAAAACTACGAAAACACTAGAAAACACAAATTAGTAATAAAAGTGGCTCTAAAGAGCCAAAAATGCTACCAATTATGACCAAGAGACGGGGGTAAAATACTATATAAAATAGACATATCACCTTACTAGGGTTCTTCCAGGCATTTGGTGGGAGCTAACTCCTGCCTTCTTGCCAGTATTGAAATCAATGTGCTTTCTAGCCTTGCCAGAAACATCCCCCCGATCTTTCTTCTAAATCTTGGGGTCTAGCTTTACAGTAGGAGAAGCCTTAGACGAGCCGCCTTGCATCAAATAAAAAAAGTTAGGACCACGGGCAGTGCTAAATTCTGTACCTTAGGAGCTCTTCCCTCTTCAAGCTCCTCATTTCTCCGTTTACCCAAAACGGACGAACGATATTAGGTGGCTGAAAGAGTAGTCAGCTTCTTTGTGGCTGAGAGTTTTTCCATGGCAACATCTGCACCAAGAAAACAAGAGTTAGAAACAAACAAATATAATCAAGTTCCAGCAAAGTAATAAAATCAAGCGGCCAAGTACTTCCCATCAGATAACCACTCATGACGAGGAATGTAGCTTTGGGGGGTTACCTCCTTCCCCCCTTCTGTTTATTTATCCTAACGAAAACTATAAACAGGCCACGGTCTAGAATCGGCTCCTGCGTCTGTCTTGGGACAGACGGCAGGGCCTTCTTCCCAGCAAGAAGAGGAGGGTTCTGGTTCCACTAGTTGTATTTCTTGTTGCATAGGTGTAGGGAATATTTCAAGCGTTAACCCCTAACTTGAACCCCACTGTGATCATACACTAAAGTACGGTGGCATCCAAAGGGAAAGAAGATAGTGCAAAAGAGTCGCCAACAAGTTTTTTTAGGAACTTGTAAACCGTTCACGAGGTGAAGGTTACACCCCTTAACGATCCAAGAGATCGTCAACTCCGTAAGGTCTTGAACCAAATAGGGTTCGGGGATTGTAGACACCCATTTGTGTCTCCCCAAAACCAAACCCAGTGATGAATACCTTTCACATCGAACCATAATCGAATGAGGTGAAAGTGTGAAAAGTCTAGTGTTGCGGTTAGTTTTTGTTAAAATTCTTTCTTTCTGTTTTCGAAAACCCACTCTATTTTATGAAAACAGTCAATCCAGTTTGGTTGGTCCATGATATGGGTCCAATAGTGGTGTAGTTGGATGGATCTTGCAAAGACCTTTCCAACGATATATTATAAGCCCAATTCCGATGAATATTGAGGAAGTTATGGCCAAAATACTAAACTGGGCCCAAACCGGATTTTACCTACGACCCAATGATCATGAGGAGGGTCCAAAGGTTTAATCCTATTCCTAAACTAATTAGGATTGATTAGAATCTTCTATAAATTTCTAAAATATCTTAATTATCCTTTTTTGAAAAGATAAGATTAAGGAATTTGATTTAAATATAAACTTTCCTTTTTTATAAAACTTTCCTTTTTTAAAGTCCTAATTCTATTCGGATTTAAACATGTTCAAAGACAGTCAGATATTATTTTCGTGCCTCATATTTTTTATCCAAATTTTATATGGTTGGATAGATATTGAAATTATCTTTCCAATGATATATTATAATAATAATTCCGAGCTATAACGGAAAAGATATGAATAAGATATCAAACTCTATCCAAAACTGACACCGTCTCACTATTTCCTTCATATATTTTATTCTACAATATATTTTAATCTGATTCCAATTGGATTAGAAATTATACTTCAAGATCTTTCCAACTACATCTTATTCATCTTATTCCAATTCCTGGATCAAAAGATATGATAAAAACAAAATCTGCAAAAACTGCTGTCTACGAGTTTTATTTCGATTCGAATTTGGATTCTTTTCTTAATTCTTCGACCCTCTTTTTTCCTATAAATAGAGGTCATATCTCCCCTTTTTCAATCACCAACTCTCATCAAGATTTTCTTGATTATTCTCTCTCTCTTTTTTAAACTAGCCTTTTCTCAAACAAATAATTTCGCATTCACAAGATTTAGAAACACTTAGCCATATTCGAAGTTGCCTTCACCCTAGACGTGAAAGGTTTTAATTTTTGAGGTTTTCGTCCCAAATCTCTCTTTCAATTATTTAATTTAATTGTTTTGATCATTATTTTCCTTGAAGTTACTAACGTGTGTATTTTGTTATTAGAAAGAGGTACGAAGCATCAAAGTAAGTGCTTTAATGATTTTATTGATATTACGATGTAGAAATCATGTTTATATTGTTATTATGATTCCTAGTATCATGTCTAGGGTATTTTTAATATTAAATATGATTGTTATGATGTTTCCTATGTTTTTCCTAATATTAATTCATGTTAGTATCATGTTAGGGCTAAAGATTTGATTTTTATTGCTTAGTGACATGCTAGGGTTTGTTATTAATCTAGTTAGTATCATGCCTAGGATCTTACTTTTATTATGCTTTAACATGAATATTGTTATAATTATGATTATTATGATTATTATTAATTATGATTGCTATGATTATGATATTCGTTATTCTTCATGATTATTTTAATTATAATTATTATTGATTATTATTATGTTGCTTGATACATATTACATTTATTGTTATTGCTTGATCACACCTTTTATGTATGTTTAAAGGGAATTTGTATTTGCAATCACGCTTAATAAGATAATTAATAATCTTGTTAGGGTTATATGATTATAATTCAAGTGATCGCCAATAATAGTTTGTGTGTGCATTAAATTCAACCAACATAGATTAAACAGGTTTAGGGTTAATCCTATTGATTGCATGTTAGTCAGAAAGCGCACATGAATACGATCAGAATAAAGTAGAGGCCTATTATTAGGGCAGGTTCAATCTCTTTTAGGTTGGATTTGTACTATCATCCCCGAACCCTTATTTGGTTCATGACCTTATGGAGTTGACAATCTCTTGGATCGTTAAGGGGTGTAACCTTCACCTCGTGAACGGTTTACAAGTTCCTTAAAAACTTGTTGGCGACTCTTTTGCTCTATCTTCTTCCCTTTTGGACGCCACCGTACTTTAGTATATGATCACAGTGGGGTTCAAGCTAATGGGATTAAAGGCTTGAAATTATTCCCTACAGTTTTTGGCGACTCCGCTGGGGAGGATTTCTATTTTAATTCCTGAACTTGTTTCGGCAATGATTGAGAATGAGTGGATGAGACTCGAAAAGTTCTAAGTATTTCATGTGCGTAATTTTGATTAACATTATTGTCATATGCATAAAAAGGTTCTCATTGGAAAGACCATTCGTAATGAGTCAAAAACATAGGATTTTACACGTAGCAAATTTGAGAAATGTCTTTCACAACTAGGACTGAAATAACACCGCGCAAAACTGGATGATTTTATTGAGCACAGAAAGCTGCTGAGGCATGTGGGAAGTAGCGTCAGGGGCCAGAGCTTGGCGCCAAAGTTTTAGCCGTAGCGCCAGACGCTAGTATTGGCGCCAGGCGCTACATTTAAAAGTTGGCGCCAATCTCTGTTTGCTGGCGCCAATTTCCCCCAATACCGAGCCAGAAATATGCGTTCTAATTTCGACCGGTTTTTCGTATTGTTTGCTCGATCCTACTTCCTGATTGAATTTTTTCTCACTTTCTGAAACCCATATGTGTTCTACATATGGACATAACCCTCTGGGAATTCATGCTCTATCTACCCGATTGAACGCTCCTGGCAACAAAGGGTACATCTGAGATGTTGAATTCACCAAACCATGGAAGTTAGTTTTTTTTTTCTAAAAACTCGCGGTGTCCCATCCACACGCGTTAAACCTTCACGGTTAGGCTTCTACGCGGTGCATCTGGACAATTAACCATGGACCCTATTTGACTAAACCATATCCCGAACTTTAGAGAACTAGAGCCATGGTTAGGTTGCGAACTCATTGCATCATATTGTGCCTCCTTGACTAATTGTGCATTATTTGTTGTGCATATATATCCTATGCTCCTCTTAACCATTTGTTGATTTGTGTTGAGATTATAATTAATGACTTAAAAAATTTGCCTAATTAATTAATTAATTAATTAATTCGAGTCAATAAAGTTTTTTTTTTCTTCTTTTAATCGGAATTGTCCTAGTACGACTTTAGGCATACCCTAGTTGACTAATAATATCGAAAGCAGTCCCAGACCGAGGCTCCATTATTGGTGCCAAAATCTGGGTTGTAGCGCCACTGTATGGTGTGTAGCGCCAGACATTTACTAAAAAGTCTGGCGCCAATCACCATATTGTGACGCCAGTCCTGTCGCTTGGCCGACAGTTCGGATTATTTGTCGAGTCATCACCTAATGTCTAATTAACCAGTTTGCTAATTAATTCGGTTATTTCCGCTGTCAATAACACCTTGTCAGGTCATTAATCGAGTCTTGGTCACATAATCTAGCCACATGGTCATAACACGAGTCTTAACATGCCATCTACACTCACTAGTCTTAGCACACACTTTGAGTATACATCACCATGGCCATGTCTTAGGTTCATGCATGAGTCGGTTTTTTTCCGTCATTTGAGTTGAGGGGGTACATTCTATTCTTAATTCTTCACATCCCTCCACCTAAATCTTCTTCACATTCTTCCATCTTTCTTCACCTTCTCCATCCATGTGTGTTGAATCGAGTTTGATTCATGTGATTGACAAACAAAAAATGAGGGTAATGAAGAAACAACACAAGAGAAGAGGCGAGCTTCAACGACAAGATTTCGTGACCTCTTTTTCTATTTCTTCTTCATTTTTTCCTTTCCCCAATAAGTCTAGCATAGGCACCTTTTCTTTTTCTTTTAGATTAATAGGATTTTTTCCTTTTTCCCTTTTTAATAAAATGAGCATTTATTTCCTTATATATGATCATTTCATTATATTGCATCAAATATATATATATATATAAATAAAAAATAAAAAAAAATAAAAAAAAACCATGTCGAATAAAGCACAAGGTATACTAAGGATTTGAGGCACCCCTTGTAGCCACATCATATCTCCTTTCGCCCTTCAATTATACAATCCTTTCTTCATAAACCACTTTGAGCCTCGTCTAACGATAGACCCTTCTTTTTTCAACCTACATCTACCTAACCTTGGGATGGGATGGCGTGCAACTTATGCAATTCTAAAGAAAGCTTGAGCAAATTCAAAAGAAAGCAATAGCAAAAAAATAAGCAATAATAAAAAAAAACGAAAACAAGTGTACAAAAGGGCAAGTGTTCCAATGTCTTTAATATGAAAATATCTTTGATAAGAACACGTCTCAGATTGCGTCTCTTATCGACTGCTCGGTACCGTGCCTGAGAAACATGAATGCCAAGTGAGTGATAGACCGCATGATCGAGATTGCCCACA